CTGTAATTAGTTGGTTAAAACTAGTTAAGAAGCTATTAGGTCCCCTCCCCCACTTGAGTAACTGGACTTATGACGTCCTCCCTTTAGGAAAATAAAAACTAAACTTTTCCTTCTGGAGAGAATAAAACAAAAAGATGATTAAGCAAATATGTACATACTGAATAATAAAACAATTTATTCCACCACCCCAGCCCAATTTCTCTACTCAGCTTCAAGAACACTAGCTGCCAGGTCTTCAGTGTCTAGGAGGAGAGTAGAAGAACCTTTTTTGGGTCGTGAGAACAAAAGATCTAGAGATAGTGAATCAGGATTTCCCAATAAGACAGCCCAGCCAGATCACCCCATAATTAAGCTCACAGTCAACAAGCCCCAGAATACACCTTCCACTAGCCCACGTATTTCTTCACCACTTGTTTTAGACTACGGGCCTCACCTCAACTCAAAATGAACCCCAACTGCTTCTGCCGCTCTGGTGGCTCTTGCATCTGCAATGGCTCCTGCAAATGCACAGTACAAATGCACCTTCTGCAAGAAAAGCTGCTGCTCCTGCTGCCCCGTGTGTTGTGCCGGGTGTGCCCAGGGCCGCATGTGCACAGGGGCATTGGACAAGTGCAGCTGCGGAGCCTGATGTTAGGAAAGCCAGCTCCCAGACGGAAACAGAGCAATGTGTACAGACCTTTATCATATTTTTTCTTTTTTCCTACTACCCCGACTCTCTCGATACATTCCCGTTTCTATGAAATATTAGCATGGCAGTGTAACTGGTCCAAAGTCCGTGTGCCCCACGCTGCAAAAGACCAAAACTCAAAATGTCAGAGTTTTGAGTAAAGGAAGATTTATTGATCGAGGAGGCACCAACCAAGAAGATGGGAGCCCTTGTGGTATCTCACATCCATGTTAAAGTACAGAGATCAGGCTTTTTTTTTCAGTCAAGGGAAGGGGAGATGGCAAGGGGAAGAAGTGACTGACCACTGCAGACATCCGAGCACCAGCAGAGGTCTGAAGAAGAATGTACTAGTCGATGTAAGTCCAGTCACAAGATTCCTGCATATCTTTGATAAACAATCATTATTTTTTTATATACTGCCCTTATCACCTCAGGAGAGGCACATTCTGATAAGAGACTGTTTTTGTAAAACTCAGGCTATTAGCAGAATTCCTCTAATAATTAGCATGTCTATATGCAACATTAAGCAGAAGCTATTAGCCTGAAGGCCATGGGAACAAGCAGGCTGGAACAAGATGGAGTCAGAGAGGCCAAGCATTTCACTCTGTTTCAACAATAAACTCATATAAACAAAGCAAAACAAACAAACACCAAAGCTCATTTATATGTTCTGAGCTCCCAATCACCTTTTTAATCCCCACACTTTAAATACAACCACCATATAGTTGAGAAGATCCTTTAACATGAAAGATCAAAACACACACAAAAGGAACAGGAAGTGGCAACTTAGAAAAAACAACCTACACAGGAAGGTAAAAAACATTAAAATTTCTACCAATAATATCTTCAGAGTGATAAAAGGATTGGCAACAAAGAAATCTATTTAAAAAGAAAAATAATCAAGAAACATAAAAAGTCAATGGAAGACAGATAAATATGAGGAAAAGTACCCCCAAAGTAAAAAAGACAAACATGGAAGCTAGGAGAGAAACCTAAGAAAATTAAGAGTGCTAGGCAAGGAAATCACATATCTGAATATTAAGAGTTCTGCTAAGAATAGAGACAGAAAATGCAGGAGAGAAGATCATCAACCAAAAAAAAGTTTTATTCCCAGAAATGAAGGATACATATTTCTAGATTGAAAGAGTTGAGTACTCAGCACAGTAGTTAAAACCATACACACCCCAAAGCATGGAGACAAAGATCCATCAAGATTCCAGAAGGATATAAACAGATCAAATGTAAAGGAACTCAGCTCCCAATATATTTACCTCTCAAGTACCCTTTCTGAGGAAGCATATGGAAGAGATGCTCCACCAAAATAAAGGAATATGCTATGTGAAATATAGGAAAGATATGGTTAAAGAAAAAGAAGCAGGCCCAGGTTAGGGGTCACTCCCCCTCAGAACAGGAAACCAAGGCTTAATTGCAGTTTCAGCCCCTCCCAGGAATGGACTTTAACCCAAACAGCCTGGAATTTCCTGATCAACACTAGTGAGGTAATCTGCCTGATAAGACCCCTACCTTCCTTTCCCCAAAGGTAGGTGACCTTGCCTGAAACAGTTTTTCAGGGGGTTTTGTTTTGGGTTTTTTTTTTTTTGCTAATAACGTCCTTGTCCCACCTTCCTGTCTATAAAAGCCTTCCATTTTGTATAGCTCCTCAGAGCACCTCTCTGTTTACTAAATAGGATGTTGCCCAATTTGTGAATCATTCAATAAAGTTAATTAGATCTTCAAATATACTCGGTTGAATTTTTGTTCTTTAACATATTTGG